TAAGGCTGTTTTGTGTTGCGATTGCTGCATTTTGTGAATTTTTTTTTTTTGAAATTTTAGAAGAGCATTTTGGATCGTAGTACTTTATTTCAGATTTTAGAATGACATTTTTGGTTTTAGAAGAAATTAAAACATTTTTCATATTCATAAAGTGATGTCTGCGATTTTATTTGAGAACCACCAAAATGGACAGCATTAGAGAATGTCCTTCAAGAAATACGAAATAATGGCAAAAATTCTCAACAATCTTCAACGTCCTCTTCGTCATGCACCAATTCATCATCGTCGATTTCGAAAGGTTTTTGAGTTGTGATTTATCCGGTCATTTCATCTTCATAGTGGCGTTGATTGCGTTGTTTTATGAGTAGTTGTGTTCTTTTTGAGGCCTATACTTAGGTATGAAGCTGTCCAATTGTTAGTTCAAAACTAAGCAAAGTATAACCTCGATAGTAGATTTGATACTTTTGCACGAATATTCAGATGAATTTGATAATAATATGAAAACATTTGGAGTTTTTTTTTCTCGTGTTCAGGTAAAACACCAATACTGGTGTTGACGGAAAGTTACGAAGTAAGTCGCCAATTACGCGATCTGATCAAATGGGGTCGAAAGAAGTTCGCATGGGTTCAGAGGTGTCAAATAGCCGAGGATTTACCGTCAGCTAAAGGTGCCGCAAAAGAGCCACAGTCTGCACCATTATGGGATCCTACGCAAATCACATTATTTGTATCTACACAAGAGGTGCATTTTTTATTCATCGAGTTCTTTCTGATGTCTGTACATTGTCCGAGCGGTATTCGTATTGATCAAATAGGTGTTTCGTACGGTACTCGGTCAATCTGCCTAAAGACATTTAGCCTAACGACAGTTTGCCTATTGGGCGACATATCCGTTAAAAATCCGTAAGTTAGGCAAACTGTCCGTTAGGCAATGCGTCTTTAGATAAAATGTCGTTATGCTAAATGTCTTTAGGCAGATTGATCGGTCACGGTTCCATACGGCATACGAACTAGTTCTGAGTTGATTGTTCCGAATTGAGCTGTTGAAAATGAAAATGAATACGAGTGAATATGAATATGTTTCGAGCAGTTTG